TTAGTTAAAAATACGTGCTGAAATACTCTTCCATTAATATAACCCAGAAGAAGAATCTCTTACCTCATGATCTGTGTCTGCTGCCTTGAAAGTAGCTGCTACATAACAGTGGGGTCCAGTACAACAATTCATTCTCAAGAAGAAAGCTGGGGCAATTGTCTCTAAATAGAGGACTGAATCAAGAGTGGATTTTTCCAGACTGTCACTGCCGATAAAATGAGGTTTTCAATTACAATGCTTAGCACAGAATAGCTTGCCCAGGGAAACCTATGTTCCAATGCTGCCAAGCGATATATGCTCAGCACAGCATTTGTCAAACCATTTCCTCTGCTAAGAGTTAATATGTCAGTCTTTAAAATGGCTTGCTCTTCCACCACCTTTCCTGATAGAAACATGAAAAGTGCAACTTACTTCCTTTCGCAAAACATCTTGTCAAGACTCTTGACTCCAAATTGACTGCCTCGTGGGAAAAAACCTGCTTTCTAGAAACTTAACAAACGGTGACTGTTCTATCATAATTCTGCCTCACTGGAATAAGGAGGTCAACCAGGGAGACAACAATCATTAAATAAAGTGTTAAAAGGTGATTGCCGGGTTCAACTGGCAGCTTAAAAATGCTAGAAGTCTGAATGCTATCCTAAGCACTCAAGACCTAGCAAATTATTTGTTTTAGCTGAGATTACACTATCAGGTGATGATGACCGCAATAGACACTGCTGTGATAAAAAAAAAAAATCACTATCCTTACAAGAACAAACAGGCAAAGAGCAAGTTTCACATGAAGATTGATCAAAAGCACATGATTAATGCCAGAAATGTACCCAAAGAGCAGCTTTCTGGATTAACTTTGCTATAAATGCCAGCAACCAAACCCACCCACTGGTACCAATTGCACATCTCAGCTTTAACTCATCTTAATCAAATCACTAATTATCTTACACTGATCCTGACGAGCATCACAGGATTTCAGTTCTTCATAGGAGCTTAATTCACTGTTTTCTTTCAAACATTCACGTCTGTCTGCACTTGTCTAAGTACATCGTAACCACTAAATCATACAATCCATCATCTCTTTGTCAGTACCCTAGACAGAGAAGATCCTCTGAGAATATGCTTACAACATAAAGGTCACTTTGAAAGTTGACTAAAGGCATGAATAAAAAATAAAACATTTAGTTAAGCCCTTTGAGGAGATGAGGTTGCCATTACCCTTTACTGTTTGAGCAAGTTCTTCAACTGCTTTTCAATGCTGTTGTGACACCACACGGGGAGTTTAATGGCAGCTCCTGAGTATATATGGAATCAAAGCCAAAATTCAGCTTACTAACTTAACTTTCAGAAAGATAGCATGGCAGTCAGAGATTAAGAATCATTATATACTTGGCAAACTGACCTATTTCCAAACGATGCTGTCACAGGATGATATGTGCAGTGGGCGTATTTTAGCCAACAAAAGCTAGCAAAGCGCCAAGAGCTGCTGAATTTCCTGTTAAGAATTAAGAGCCCCTCCACACACATTTTCTGCCACAATATATGGCCCATCTTTTTGTCAGCACAAGTCTTCCTTGAAAAATGAGCGTTGAAAAAATCACCTGGCATCATTTCTCATGAAAGGTAAGGAAATTAAAGGAAATGAAAGAAGCTACAAAGTAAGAAGAGCTGATCTGAGTGTCCTACTGGCTAACACGCCTCTGAAGTAAAGTGCAATTCCAGTTTTATACTTGGTGCGTAAGTACCATGTAAAACAGGAGTGTGAAAATGTAGAAGTATGCAAGACAAATGACATTTTATCTTTAGACATAATCATCCCTCATGGGTGCCATCCCTACTTACCAATTAATCACTAGAGCATGAATATCCTAAGACAAGGCTAAAAATGGGGTGTCATTTTTCACTAAATATGCTTGAAACAGCCAGTACATTTCACAAAGGAAAGAAGAGGTTTGTGATCTATTTGGTAGTGGCTTCACAAGTGAAACCTCACAGAATCTGAACGGAAATCTCCAATATTGACTGCAGCATACAGTTATGGCTTGTGCCAGCCATCAGTAGAAACCTCAAGGTTTAGTAATGTGACTGCAAGTGACTGCATTGCCAAGACTTACTGAGTGACCACTTCCTGGCTGAGATAACAGCAACTGAGTAAATATGATGTTCTAGTCGTTGCAAACACAAAATAAACTGTATTAGCATAAACCCACTTAGTGAAACGTGACTTGTAAGCCCCTGAAACTTGGCACTTGTGATTGTATGAGCATACCCTCTCTGTCTTAGCTAGTATAAACAATGTTAGACTTGTAAACAAAGTAAAATCAGTATTTCCAATCAGCCAGCAAAAGCAATGGGCATAGGGAGAAAATTATCACCTCTGGAGCTCAAAATCCATCTACCATATAGGTGCATACTTCCTGGTTTATGAAAGTACCTGAAAGTCAACTTACTGATCTGATTGTCAGCTGCTAACATATGTGAGCTGTTCTCCCTCCTCAGTGTTGCAAATGAGGTTATCTAAACAGCATTCTGTCCAATCATCCATTTAACCGTACTGCTTTGCCTCAAGAGTAAAACTTAGGTGGCTGGGTCTATCAAATATTGCAAGTTAATTTTTTTTTTCTTTTGGCAGAATGATCCCAAAAAAGCCCAAGAGCTCAATTTTGCTTAGTTAGGTATCTATAGACAAAATTAACTACATTCACATCTCAACCTTGTGATTTGCTTAATGAGAAAAACGACACAGTACCTGGACATAGGCTCTAAAAGAAAAAGGAAGGTGGTGTATAGTTGTTAGCGGGAAAGATAAAAATTTCATCACAAAAAGGAGTTTTCATTTCTTCTGTGTTCACAGATTATTTGCTTGTGTGCACAATAATGATGCTAGACCTGTTACCTGGATTACGCTATTGCTTATGAGTTTTAACACCTAAAATCAAATGCAAACAGAAAAATGTCTGTAGCAGGTGGCATCCAAGTAATTCTCAGATAACATATTTAAAGGAAACTGGAAATAAAAAGGACAATCTTTTCCTGCAGGAAAATCCACAAACTCTCTTTATAGCACGTAAAACAAGTACAATCAAGAATTAAAAGAAGTTGCCACTGGGATTCTAACAAAATTATACAGGTATTTTTAATTTATGGTTTAAATATAAAATGGTTACATGCTGAATATAAAAAAATGACATCTAATTATTAACATCTGCATGCATTTGGTTTTCATCACTAATCTTTCAAAATAATAACATTTTAACTGAATAAGCTTCTAAGATCAAAATAGAAGCCATGAATGAGCCATGGAAAGATTCTTTGATTTTATTTCCCCCCCCATTAATGGATAGAGTCTGATTTTGCTTACACTGTTAACTATACAGGCTTCAAATATTTACTGTGGACAAAATCAGCCCATTAGACACTGTTACACCTCAGCAAAGAACGAGACAGCAAACATAATATCGCTAATTTAAACAAAGAGCAATAGTTGAGACAAGTGATGAATTACAGAACCTTTTATGTCAATTTTGATTACAGAAGAAAAGTTGCCAGAACAGCTTAATATACCCACAGTTATAAAATCTTTTTTTTTTTTTTTTTAATTATCGATATATAGCAACAGCCCCCCCACCCCTCTAAACTGAACATGGGTCAAATTCTCAAAACTGCACTTCTGTCTTTGAAACTTTGCTGTCCTCATGACGCCCAGAGTTGTCCCTGTGAGAACTGCATAAGGGTCCCTAATCTACATTGCTCAGCAAATAGAAATATAAAATTGGCAATAAAAAAAAAATTACAGAAGATTATCAAGAAATCTAGATGCAGCTAAATTATTAATGGACTGTGGGGAAGGGATGGTCT